GATATCCAGTTGCCCTAGCACCATTTGATGAAAAGAGTATTCTTTTCCCCATTGAATTGTCTTCATACTATTGTCAAAGAGCAGTTGATAATATATATAAGAGTTTATTTCTGAACCCAAAATTCTGTTCCATATATATCTACATATTTGTTCTTATGGCAGTACCAACAGTGCATTGATTGATGTAGCTTCATAGCAGATTTTAAAATTAGGAATTATGAGTCCTCCAGCTTTGTTTTCTTTTTTAAGATTGTTTTGGCTCTTCTGGATCTTTTGCATTTTCCTATGAATTTTAGGATCAGCTTGCCAGCTTCTATAAAAAAAGACACCTGGGATTTTGATAGGGGTTGCATTAAGTTTGTGGATCAATTTGGGAAGTATTATCATCTTTCAAATACTGTTTTCCAGTTCATGAATGTGGGTTTTTTTTTAAGATCTTTAATTTCTTTTGACAATGTTTTATAGTTTTCAGAGTACAACAGGTTCTCGAATAATATTTTGTTTAACTTTGTTTCATTATATCACTGATGAGGAGGGCAAATCTATTTGTGGAATTTTCACATTCTCGCCATGTCTCATGGGTTTTTCTAGGTACTCCCAATTTCCTCCCAAAGGAGGAAAGATGTGCCCATTAGGTTAATTGGCATGTCTAAATTGTCCCAGTATGAGTGAGTGTGGGTGGGTGTCTAAGTGCTCCCTGTGATGGAATGGCATTTTGTCCAGGCTTGGTTCTTGCCTTGCACCCTGAGCTTCTTGGGTAAACTCCAGCCACCTGCAACTCTGAACTGGAATAAGCAGGTTGTAAAGTAATTATCCTTTTATTAATTTTTCTTAAGTGTATGTTTAGCTCATTTATTTTTAATGTTTATTAGAAGTGTTTTGGGTCTTTTTTCAGAAGTTTGATGATGTTTTTGTGACTAGAAATATGCAGTAGGAGCTTAACTCTTCTTATATCAATTAGCCTATGGTAAAATTGGTTTAATTATACATCATTTCACTTAAAGTCACAGTTTTCAAGAACATAACAGTGGTGTTGAGGACTTACTGTATAAGTTTCATACTTTCATTAAATATATACCTAAGTATTTTATTAGTTTTAATGCTATTGTAAAAGGAATTGTCTTAATTTTGTTTTGGGATTGTTCATTGCTAGTATATAGAAATGCAATTGATTTTTCTATGTGCATATTGTATCTTGAACCCTTGCTGAACTCATTTATTAGCTCTAATAGCCTTTTAGTGTATTCCTTAGGATTTTCTATGTACAAAATCATCTCATCTGCAAATAGAGGTAGTTTTACTTCTTCCTTTTCAATCAAATTACTAATTCAGTCTGTTTACTTGTTATTAATCTATTCAGGTATTCTATTTCCTCTGTGTTGGTTTTAGTAATTTGTGTCTATCTAGGAATTTGTCCATTTAATCTGATTTATATAATCTGTTGGCATACAGTTGTTCATAGTATTCCCTTATAATTCTGTAAGGTATTTATTTCTGTAAGCTATGTAGTGATGTCTCTTCTTTTTTTTTTCTTGCTTAGTCTAGCTATAGGTTGTCTTTTTTTTCTTTTTTTTATCATCTCAACCAAGTTTTGGTTTCATTGATTTTTCTCTTATTGTTTTTCTGTTCTATTTCATTTATTTCCACATTAGCCTTTATTATTTTCTTCTTTCTGCTTGCTTTGAGTTTAGTTGCTCTTCTTTTTCAAGTTTCTTAAGGTGGAAGATTTAGTTACTGATGTGAGATCTTTTCCTCTTTTTAATATAGGCATTTACATCCATAAGTTTCCCAATGAGCACTGCTTTACCTGCATGCCATCAGTTTTGGTATGTTATGCTTTCATTTTCATTCATCTCTAAGTATTTTCTAATTCCCCTTGAGAATTATTTTTTGACTCATCAGTTATTTAGGAGTATTTTGTTTCATTTCCACATAATGTGAATTTCCCAAATTTTCTTCTTTTATTGATATCTAATTTCATTCCACTATGATTAGAAAATACATTTTTCTAAATGTATTTTCATGATTTTATGTAATGTAAATACGTGGTTTTACTCCTTTCAAATTTATTGAGGCTTGTTTTATGGTTTACCATGTAGTGTGTCTTAAAAGATGTTCCGTGTATGCTTGAGAAGAATGTGTTTTCTATTACTGTTGAATAGTGTTCTGTGGTTGTCTGTTAGGTCTACTTGGTTTATTCTGTTATTCAGGTCTTCTATTTCCTTGTTGATATTCTCTTAGTTGTTTTGTCTGTTATTGAAAGTGGAATATTGATGTCTCCTACATAGTAGAGATGTCTATTTCTGCCTTCAATTCTGTCTTCATTTCCTGTAGTTTGAAGCTCTGTTGGTGGGTTCATATATGTTTTTAATTTTCATATCTTCCTTTTAGATTAACCTTTTAACAGTATGAAATGTCTCTTTATGTCTAATAACACTCTTTGTTTTAAAGTTTGATATTAGTATAGCTACTTCAGCTCTCTTGGTCACTCTTTACACGGTATCTTTCTCCACTTCTTTTACTTTCACCTTAATGTGTCTTTGAATCAAAAGTGTATTGTTGGTAGTAGTTGTTTACTTGATCATTTGTTTATTTTCTAGTGACTTGGCTGAACAAATGTTGCAAAGCCGATCCCCCAGGATGTGCAGCCTCTGATCTCCACGCTCAAAAATTTTTTTATGTTTCTTATCTTTTAGCCTGGCTAAAAGTGCTCTCCCTGGGTTGACCTAATCTACTTATTAATCAAAGTGTGCTTTATTTCCCTTAACCAGTTAGATTTTTACTGTTTACTGTGGATGTGGCTTGGAAGCAGCTATTGTGTTCAGAGTGTTTACAGTTTTTTGCCCTGTGTTCACCCAGAGAGTAGTAGCTTGGAAGTTCGCTCTCTCATTGCCCGAGGAGCGTATAGCCTTGGGCTTGCACAGTTTTCCAGATAGCCAGGGATGTCTGGATGGTACTTTAAGTCTTTGCTTCCTAAAAGCTGACCCTGAGTTCAAGTAGAGTATTATTATTGTTCAACACCAGTGAGGCTTTACCTTGAATTAATAGGTCTGTGTGGCTTGGAGATTGCTTCCGTGTCTGTACTACATCTCATTCTGATTGCTCCTGGAGGGCATACAACACAGTGCACGTGCAGTCTTTTAGCACCTAGAATTGAGTGTGCTCTCAGGATAGCTCTCTTTGGCAACCTCCTCCTGGTTCTGTCTATTAAAACTTCTGGCTGCTCTATTTTGCTTGCGTCATGGAGCTACTAGCTTCTTAACTGCTTTCCGACTGCATTCCACCAAGATCTCCTTTGTTTTTTGTTTGTTTTTTATTGAAGATCTCCTTTGTTTTTGACAACACCAGTTTAAGCATGTAGTTCTCCCAGTGTTATTTCATAATAAAATTATTCCCCTCAGGCTAAGTTTCTGGTGAGTTCTTGTCCTTAGGCCTGATTTTCACCCTGGGCAGAACCCTTCTGCCACACTATATTTCTGCTGGGTCAAGGACCAACTTTCCCTGGAGTGACACCCTCACTTTACAAGTGGGTACTTGGGGAGGGATTGGCAGTTCCATTTCTTCGTATCTTGTCCCTCCTTCACCCTACTAGTAAATTGGAGTGGGGAAGATTAGGACACACTTGTGTACCTAGAGCTTGTATCCTAAGAGAGGGAGCTGGATGAGGTAAGGGAGACCTGGTTCTCTCAGCCACAGGTGCCTGGAATAGAGCTTCTGTAACGTGGGGCTGGGGAATATAAAAAACAACAACCAGCCAGCTTTTCTCTAGGTGAAACCATATTCCCAGACTGCAAACTGGAGGGGAGAAGGAACCCCTATTTTGGCCTGAGTAGAATGCCCAGATTAAAGTTTCTGTTACATGGAAGTGAAGGGGTAGGTTAAAAGAGCAGGTCAGGGCTCAGTGTCAAAGACTTCCTCTGTTCTTATCAGATTTAGTAGGTTTTCTTGAATAAATTTTTGTCCCTTTGCTATACGCCTTTACGACAATATCCAGAACTTTAAATGTTTTTTTAAAAATCATTTTCACCAGTTAAGTTGTTACTTTGCTTGGGAGAAAGTCCACTGAGATACTCATTCTGTAATTCTGGAAGTATCCACCCCCCCACAAACCCCCAATACAGCTTACAGTAGATTCTACTAATGATACATCTAATACACAATAGTTTGCTTAAGTGTTCACCACTTAAAGTGAGATATTGCATTAGTGAAAGCAGCTAAAACAATTTTGTTATTAAAACCCAAATTCATGACCTGACAACTTGAGGCAGTTAAGAATGTAGTCTGACTAAACTTTTAAAATAATGTCAATACTTACTTACTTTTTGTTGAATGTGGTTTGTTTATTAATTACTACATAATAAAGTACTAAAAACATTACTTCTAGTCATAAAATTTGATCATCCCTGCTTTGGTTGTATTAACCTAGTCCAAATGTAATGTGGTCTCGGTAGCTTGGAAAGCCAAATTTCATACACGAAATTTGCTTTTACCAACATTTTTAATTTTAGGGAAAACTAAAATGTCTAAGAACTTAATCAATTACTTCATAGAGTTTTATATTTGTGTACACATTTCTTCTGTATGATAAGTACTTTGAAGAAATGAATCATTTCTCACTTTATCTCTGTTCTCCTACTTTTATTTCCAAAACACAATTCCTTTAACTCTGGGATTCAGCCACATTGTACAATTGTGTCTTTCCTCATATATTTTCTCTTCTTCATTTGTCAAATCTTTACTTTCACCCAGCTCAGTATTACCTTCTTTAAGTTTCTCTGTTTCTCCAGTCAGAAATAATCATGCCTTTCTTCTGTTCCAATGGCAATTTTGCAACTTTTATAACTTTTTTACTTATAATTACTCATCTCCCTCTTTAGATTATAAGATTTAATTTGTTTTCATCTTTTTTAGCCACTTACTTTGTACATAGAACATGATTATTGGATGAATGAATGGATAAATTAATGTTTAAATGAATGGTATAATCTTTTATTTTATAGCCGAGAGACACATAAGATTGCAGTATTTTATGTGGCTGAAGGACAAGAAGATAAACATTCCATTCTCACCAACACAGGAGGAAGTCAAGCATATGAAGATTTTGTAGCTGGTCTTGGTTGGGAGGTACTGTTATTAAATTATAACAAATATCATTTTATTTCTATTTGAAAGCAGTAGTGTTTTTTCTAGCTTATTTTAGAAGCATTATATTAAGAGATTAAATGACTATACAATGGATTTGGTTGTATTCTGTTCTGTATCTCATCGCAAAAACAGCAGCAGTTGGGACTTTGAACAGAAAATTGTTGACTACTTTATGAGACAGTATATTGTCAGAGAGTATGAAACATATAGGTTTGGAGATCTGGATTTTCTTCACAGCTATGAGCACTAGACTGGTAGTCTTTTAACTAAGATATAAATATCCTTAGGACTATACCAAGGCTTTCTAGGGGGCACATCAGCATGTTCAGTTTTAAGGAGATTAGTTTCCAGATAGATTCTCAATATTACTAGAATTAATGCCTGAGAACCCTTCTGCAGTCTCTTTCCTCTCCTTTTCTATTCTTTATTTTTGTAAAAGAAAGGCTTACCACTCACTCACCTGAGTCCTACATTGCCCCAGAAGGTTTGCAACCAAAAAAAGAGCTCATTCAAGAGAGCAAGTCCTGAGAGTTTCTGAAAGCAAAGCAAGAAATATGGAAAGGTACTGCATTTTAGGCCATTCTGGCAACCAACTCATGTCAAGGTTCCTGTATCAAATTTATCTTAGAATTATAACTCAGAAGTGAGGTATTTACCATAGAGATTTGTATTAATATGTTTATTTTAATTGAAAAATGAAGTGTCAGCCCGGCCAGCGTGGCTCAGCGGTTGAGCTTCAACCTATGATCCAGGTGATCGCGGTTCGAATCCCGGTCAGGGCACATGCCCGGATTGCGAGCTCGATCCCCAGCAGGGGACATGCAGAGGCTGCCAGTCAGTGACTCTCTCATCATTAATGTTTCTTTCTCTCTCTCTCCCTCTCCTTCCTCTCTCTGAAATCAATAAAGATATAGATATAGATATAGATATAGATATAGATATAGATATTTTTTTTTTTTAATATATCTTTATTGATTTCAGAGAGAAGGAGAGGGAGAGAGAGATAGAAACATCAATGGTGAGAGTCATTGATCGAGCCCACAACCCAGGCATGTGCCCTGACTAGGAACCGAACCCCGATCTCCTGGATCCCAGGTGGACGCTCAACCACTGAGCCACACCTGGCCAGGCAAGATATATTTTTTTTAAAAAGAAAGAAAAGTGAAGTGTCAGACATGTTCTGACAGAAAGTGAATTTGATGTGGCTGATTGATGTCATTAAGTTAGTAGCAGACATTTTATATATACTCAGCAAAATCTAAAGCTCTAAGATTTTGATGAAAATGTATTTAAAGCACATATATATATAATATAGAGTACACTAGAAATTATATCTTTTTCAACAATTTAAACTTATGATGAAAATTCTCATTGTAGTTGTCAATTTAATACATAGTTTCTCAAAATTCTTGTAGAGACTACATGAGCAAAATTGTTGAAGACCACTGCATTAGACTGTAAGCTACTAGAGGGCACTTTTGCCTCATTGCTTTTTCTTTCTAAATCCTGGTTCTTGCACAGTGTCCAATACATAAGCCTTTATCATTCAGTATATATTTTTGTAGCTGATCTGATATGCTGTTTCACCCTAAGTGACTTATTTGAGCACTCTGGATTTGTTTGCTTATTTGTCAGAGGTAACATACTTTTTTTACCCAGCAGATGTGATGTGAAGTGAAATTCAGCTGAGATTATATATGTGAAAGTGATTTGGAAAGTATAAAAAAACATCATAACTGGTTTTCTGTTAAAAAACAAACAAACCAGAAAATTATTGGTAATAAGTATTAGTAAAACCAAGGAACATATGAAAAAGAACAAATTAGGAGTACTCACACGTCCTGATTTCAAAACAGTACAAAGCAACGCTACTCAGCGTGGTACTTGCATCAAAGATAGACGTATCTATCAATGATAGAATTGAGATTCTGGAAATAAATCTACATATCTCTGATCAACTGATTTTCAACAAGAGTGCCAAGACCAGTGGAGAAAGAATACTCTTTTTAACAAATAGTGCTGGAACAACTGGATAACAACATACAAAAGAATGAAGTTGGACTCTTACCTCACACTGTATACAGAAATTAACTCAAATGGATCGAAGACCTAAATGTAAGAGCTAAAACTATAGAACTTTTAGAAGACTGGTTTCTATTGTTGAATCTAAGTGGTAGTGAGAGTGTTCTTTTAACCTTACTGTATGTTTGAAAAATCTAACAGTAAAAAAGAGAACAACAAAAAACTCTTAGAAGACAAAAAAGGATGACTCTTCATGACCTTGGATTTGGCAAGGGATTCTTTTTCCTTTTTTTCAGCTTTATTGAAGTATAATTTACAAATAACAGGAATTTTTAGATATGACACTAAAAACATGAGCAACGAAGAAAAATGCAATAAATTGTACTTAATTAAAATTTAAACTTTTGTGCTTCAGAAGACATTATCAACAAAATGAAAAGACAATCCACAGAATTGGAGAATATAATTGCAAATCACTTACTTCTAAAACATACAAAAAACTTATATAAATTAATAATTAGAAGACAACCCCATTTTTTAAATGGCCCAAAGGATCTGAAATAAACATTTCTCCAAAAAGATATACAGCCAACCAATAAGCACATGAAAAGATACCTATCATCATTATCTATCTGAGAAATGCAAATCACAACCACAGTGAGATACCACTCACTAGCATAGTTAGAATCAAAAAGTCAGGCAGCAGCAATAACAACTATAGGCTAGGATTTGGAGCAGTCTGAACCCTAAACAAAGTACAGTATATCCATATGACAATATTATTCAGCCATGAAAAGAAATGAAGTACTGACATCTGCAACAATATGAAAGTACTTTGAAAACATCATGCTAACTGAAAGAAGCCATTTACAAAGACCATGTTTTATAGTCCATTTATATGAAATACCTGCAATAGGTATATATATAGACATATTGCTACAGAAAGTAGACTATTGGGTGCCTAGGGCTGGTTGTGGGGGATGAGGGAAGATAGGGGTTACAGCTAAAGAGTACAGGCTTCTTTTTGAAGTGATGGAAATATTCTAAAATCGATTGTGGTGATGATTACATTTATCTGTAAATATATTAAAATCCATTAATTTTTGCAGTGGGAACTTTCACTTCTAGGAAGATCAAAAATACATACTGTCCCTATTCTTCACACTAAGTATAACAGAAACCCTGAACATAAAACAAACATAAGACTGAATGGTGGAGAGAAGACAGATCCACCAGCTAGGGACTTCAGGACCAAGGAATGAATGGTGAATTCTCAGGGTTTTCTTTTTGCCTCATATAGCACTGACTTGGAGCTGAAGAAGCCAGCAACTCAGAAACATCAACAAGCACAGGGGGAAGAAAAAGCCAGCAAAACCACTCTTTCTAGCCAAAGCATCAGGAAAGGAGCAACCAAGAAAAACAAAAATTTAGACAATAACTGCTCTACTCCAGCCAAACCGCAGAAAATACTGTGACCACCCCATCCCCACCCCTGACAACAGAAGTCAGTTAGGGAGTCTAGACTTCTATCCTCACAAGACTGTGATGAGGCGTGCCCAACTCCACACCAAAGCAATCCTGTAGTGTCAGAGAAGGGCAAGTACCAAGTCAAGACTTTCATCTTTGCCGCCAGGTAACAAGTCCAGCATCCACCACCCACAAAACAGTGTCAGTGGAGACTACAGGAGGCACTTAGAATTCTCTCTCCACCTAGCGGTAATGAGATGTCCTTACCCCTCTCCACTGGAGCAGGTCAGAGGGGACATAGTAAAGAACTAGGCCTTTCACTATCACCCAGCAGTAATGAGACATTCCCCCCCCACACACACACACACTATGTCAGTGGATACCACATAGGAAGCCAAAACTTCTACCTCCTCTTAGCAGTAATAAGGATCTCTCCTCCCCAGGTGTCAGCAGAGGTTAAGTGGGGAACCTGTACTTCTACCTTCCCCTGTCAGTAATGAGACAGCACCACCCCTGCTTCTCTGACGGAGCTGTCACAAAACAGCCAGCTAAAGCAGAAGGTTTAAGTAAATGGTTTAGATAAGATATGTTATAATCTTATAATATGAAAATATTCAGGCTTCAATTAGAAATTGTACAAAGAACCAGAAAGGTCTCAAACTGAATGAAAAGACAGTAAGTGCTAACACCAAGATGACAAAGATTTTAAAGTGACATAATGGAAATGCTTCAACAAGCAATTAGGAACACAGTTGAAATAAATGAAAAACAGAAAGTCTCAGCAAAGAAATAGAAGAAACAAACAAGAACTAAATGGAAATTTTAGAACTGAAAATACAATAACAAATTTAAAGCTGAGTAGATGGACCCAGCAACAATCAGGTAGAGATAGGTATACAGAACAAAGAATCAATAAACTGAAGATAGAATAGTAAAAACCAATCAGAATAGCAGAAAGAGAATAGATTTAAAGACAGTGAGACCTGTGGGACTAACAAAAGACCTAACATTTCTGTGTTCTAATTTCTGAGTACTGAAATGAGAGGAAAAAGAGGTTCGGCCTGAAAATCAGTTGAAGACTTAATACCAAAAACTTCTCAAATTTGGCAAGAGAAATAAAGATATAAAGCTGCGGACTGAAGAAGCTGGGTGAAACTCAAACAGGATAAATAAAAAGAAATCCATACTAAGGTACATCATAATTAAACTTATGAAACTAACGGAAAAAAAAATCTCAAAGGTGTACAGAGAAAAATTGTATCTTATCTACAATGGAAAAACAATTAGAATGATAGTGAAATTCTTATAAAAAACTATGGGAGCTAGAGGAAGTGACATAATGTTTTTCAAGTGGTGGGGGTGGAAAACTGTCAACCCAGAATTTTATAGCTAGCGAAGGAATGAAGCAGAAGATTTTCAGATGAAGGACAACTTAGAATTTGTTGCCAGCAGACCTGCCCTAAAAGAATCACTACAAGGCTCTGTTAACA